TTCTTTACTAAAATGTTTTTTAAAACATTTTCAACGACATTTATTGTCTTCTTTTTTGTTGGATTATCTCCTCAACTTGTTGAAGGAATGCGTAATCCTCGTGGTAAATTTCTTTATTTTTAAGATTTTTAATATTTTAATTTTAAAAAACAGTTATAATGCGAACTGGCCAAGGACAAGTCCAAGCCCTTCTCGATCCGAAAACTTTTTCTCTCCCAGAATTGTCCTTTCTGATAAAAATTTTGGATAGTGTGGAGATTGATGAAGTTTACAATGTTAACAATTTTGAGGATATTCAAGATATACTCGTTGAAAAAGGGACTGGAATTTTGAATGCTCAAGGACTGTCCGAAAATAATCGGAACATTTCTCATTTTAGAATTAAAATACACTCGGTACTATCGGATTTTCAGACTTTTTCTCTTATAGAAAAAATCTGGCGTTAAATGGGGAGTGATTTAAAAGTGGAAACTATTTGGACGAGACTTTTTAAGCAAAAAATCTTTAAATGAAAAAGATGTCTTATTAATAGGGTTGTCTAAGATATGTAAGAAAAACCCCGCCAAAAATCCCACTTTATGACATACCTTTATATGTAAAATCTAGAGGTCGGCGAAATCTTGTTTGCGGGATTCCGCGTGCGGGAGTAACTTTTAAAATCTTTGCGGTCGGGATCCCGTCCCGCCCTGACCTCTAATAAAAACGATGCATTTTAATGTTCTATGCATTCCTGCTTATTAAGAAAACGACTAATAGAATAAAGTCGGACCTCATTTATATGTAAAATTTTGAATGTTTCGACACAAAACATAGCCTTTTAGACCCTCAAAATAATCCTAGAATAATCCTAGTGGGTTAATCCAACACTGAAAATTTTTAAGATACGGCCCGACCTCCCCATTAATTTTTATCCGTTTTAAAGGCAATTAATTATTTTGGACAAATAATTACCGGCCTCGAAGCACAAATAAAAGAAAGATACGGAAATTTGGATATACAAGCTAAAAATAATTTTATTGAAAATAGACTCAATGATTATAGAGGAATTGTCGACCAGGATGTTTTTTATCAATTTACTTATACGCATGATGCAGATATTGACGAGTTATATGCTCAACCAGATCTTGAAGATGATCCAGCTACTATGTAAAGTTTATTTATCCAACAAAACGGGTAGTTTAATGGCTAACAACATTCCGGAAAATTAAAGATACTGGTTCGCTCCCAGCTCCGAATAACACTTTGCACTAGCTGAAGGAGAGGAATAGCTCTATATGTATAGGCTAGCTCTGCCTTACAATATACTGGCTCTTGTTCAGATTACGCGTCGATCGTACTTTTAACGTGAATGAAAAGTACTTGATAAAAGTATTCGATTGATAAGTACTCGATTGATTATTGTTACCATAACTTTGGGCGAGTAGACATGCCCGGGTATTTATGCCGAGACATGCCCGTGTATATTATATATTTAACGCATAAACTTTCATTGAACGCGTAAAGGTACAAATGGACGCGTAAAGGCCAATATAGTCTTTGTTAGGGTGGCGAGAGTTTAGTATCATGCTTAAGTTGTTAGTATTATTCTGCCAGTCGTATTCCAATGGGGTATTAATAAAAATCAACAATAATTTTATTTCAATTTAGCAATAATAGTGAACTTAAAAGTATCATATTCAAATTTACACCAAAGGAAAGAAATTTATTTATCTTTCACAAATTATTTGTTTTAGCTCGAAGACTGATTTTGTCATTTATCCGAGATAGTTCTAATGCCTATTTTACTATTTTTGAAGATATGTCTGAAATTGCTGCTAATGTTCATATACAGTAATGTTTTGAATAAAGCCTCCGTTCCACTCATTTTCCCTTTTTTGGCCGGTTCTTTCAGTTCCGATCCGTTCTTTATTAATATTTATATTTTTCTGAATTAGATGATAAGGCGGACTAACTGACCCAGAAAACATCAAAAGAGCCAATGGGACATATTCTGAAACTTCTCAGAATCTGGCCGATAATATAGAAATCTTTCAGCCAGTTATAAATAGGGTTGGACCAAACATGCAAGTGCATGCTTTGTGTGCGGATATGCCTTGAAGTAAGAATGTTTTTATTATGGTATCGCCCAGATATGAGTTAATCCTAAAAGTGCTGAGTGCACATGACCAGAGGTCCGCCTTTAGTAAATAGAATTTTTGTATAGTCCCCAACAGTGATGTCAAAGTTCCCAAATTTCTCTGGAACTAGTTCCAGTTCCAGAACTAGGTTTTTAATTTTTGTAGTTCCAGTTCCAGTTCCGGAACTCCATTTTTGAAATTCCTTAGTTCCAGTTCCAGTTCTGGAACTAGTTCCAAGCTAGTTCTAGTTCCAATTTTTAAATTTTTTTGAATATGAAAATATGGCTGTAGTATATGGCTGTAGTAGTCTCAAAATCTTTAGATCTCCCCATAATTATTCCATTTTCAGCGCTGCAGGCGAAAAATTTGTGAATTTGCGAAGACCAAGCCACCAGATTTCTTTTATGGCGCCGCAGGCGAAAATTTGAAGAATTTTTGAAGTCCAAGTCAAAAGTTTACTTCCTTTTTTAGCGCCGCAGGCGAAACTTTTGAGAATTTTTGAGCTCAAGCAGCCAGATTTCTTCCATTTTCAGCGCGCTGCAGGTTATTTACAGCAATATTAAAAATACCGTAAACTTTGTCGACGAAATTTTGTCAAAAATATACCCCCAAGAACTAGTCCCAGAACTAGTTCCAGAACCAGTTCCAAAGCTAGTTCCAGACATTTACTAGTTCCGTAGTTCCAGTTCCAAGCTAGTTCCAGGCATTTACTAGTTCCGTAGTTCTAGTTCCAAACTAGTTCCAGATAATCGTTAGTTCCGTAGTTCTAGTTCTGGAACTGGAACTAGAACTAATTAGTTCCGGAACTGGAACTAGAACTTTGACATCACTGGTCCCCAAAAGGTGTACATCAATACATACCTTATATTCTCTAATAGAGCGGCCGGCCGCTATTTTTCAATCCCCTCAAAGGGCCGAACTAACGGATACGGCCATTTAACTAGATACGGCCTCTCAATTAGAGAAAATTCGGTAATTTATTTTAATTAAAATTTTAGAATGCAAATATCAATTCTTGACTATATCTTTGCTTTCGATTCCTATGAAATGCGAGCTAACGATTTGCTTATTAGATTGGAAAATTTAGCTCTGAGTTTTCTAAATTGTAATTCAAATTAGCTTTGATATTTTTTACTGAATTTAATTTAAGATAATAATAATTTCTTTACAACTCTTCAAGCGGACGAGCAGAATTTGGCAAATGAAGGTTATCGTGTTGAGTGTAGCTATAACCCGGTCAATGAGGATCAGGATGCTATAACTGAGTATTTCAATATAATGAAGATTATGCATGTATACGAAAGTAAATAGATTAGATATAATTAAGGATAGGCGACGAATTATAGGTCTGATTCAAGTGTTTATATGTAGAGTTGTATCCCCGACCCCGAAACAATTCGAAAACCCCGTACCCCGACATACACTCTGTCACAAAAGTATAAGCACCCCTAAAATTTTTGTGAAAACACATGATCCCTTCACATTATTTGTTTTATTTTTTTCGTACATTATCAGCGATCCAAACCGTCTATAAAAATAAAGTTTCAGAAAATTTTATCGATTTAAAAATTTTAAAATTGAATTTTCTCAAAAATCATGTGTCACAAAAGTATAAGCACCCCTGTAAAAATTTTATTTCTACTTAATGTAAAATTCTACAAAAAATACAGTAAACATCTCTATCGATATTATAAAAAATAAAAAAAGAATTAGTCCCATATCTCATTCCATTGTCGAGATCTCGATACCCTAAAAATCAACGTAAAACAGGGTTTTTCAACTTCAAAAAATTTTTTCGACCCCTTATGGTTTCTTTTAAATTTTCAATTTGGGCTCATTCGAAAGCCCTTTAAATTTGCTACAAGATAGCATAAGTTTTATTTTTCAGAAAAATTATTTCAGCAAGTTATTAAGTTTAAAAACAAAAAACGTCCAAATGCCCCATAAAATTAGCTCCGGAGGATTAACGTCCTGTATATCTCTAGTGAATTTTTTCTGAGATATATGAGTATTGCTATCTTGTAACAAATTTAAAAGGCTATCGAATGAGCCTAAAACAAAAATTTTAAACAAACCCTAAGGGGTAGAAAATATTTTTTGAAGTTGAAAAACCCTGTTTTACGTTGATTTTCAGGGTTTCGAGATCTCGACACTGGAATGAAATATGGGCCTAATTCTTTTTTTATTTCTTATAATATCGATAGAGATGTTTACCGTATTTTTTGTAGAATTTTACAATAAGTAGAAATTAAAAATTTAAAGGGGTGCTTATACTTTTGTGACACATGATTTTCAAGAAAATTCAATTTTAAAATTTTTAAATCGATAAAATTTTCTGAAACTTTATTTTTATTGATGTATTGGATCGCTGATAATGTATGAAAAAAATTAAACAAAAAATGCCTAGGGAGCATGTATTTTTACAGAAATTTTGGGGGTGCTTATACTTTTGTGACAGAGTGTACCGCCCCAGAACGTCCTGGAGAGTTGTAGACCGACCCCGAAACAATTGCCCGAAGCAATTCGACATTTGTTTCGGGCAATTGTTCGGGGTTCGGGGTACAATCCCAATTATATGACTTCAAATCTTAGCTCCGGATTCGGATATTTAAAAATCCTGGCTCAAATTCCCGGATTTGATCCGTGCGGAGTCGGATCCGGAAGTCTAAGATCCGGAAGTCTAATCGAGAGGCCGTTTTATATTTAAATTCCCAATCCCTGAGTTCCAAATATGCTTACTAATTTCAACCAGTAATTAACTAACAAAATTAAGAAATTGATGACTCGGTTATAACAAGTGACGAATTTGCGGAGTTTGCACCATTTCTTATTGAAAACGAGCCGAATAATACATACAATCTATATGAACTCTTCTATTCTGATTATGTTATCGAAAACACAATTCTTCGAAGGAAGCTTAAACAATATTATATAAATCCACAATTGGTTGATCAAATAAGGAATAATGCTTTGCTTTATAACCGTCACTTACGAGTACCAATAGAAATTCGTGAAGGAGTTTTCATCCCACCACAACGTCGAGAGGTCGTTTTTAGATCAGTATTTTTTGTATTAGAGCCCCACCCCAAATCCCTCGATATCCATATTATCCCCAAATACCCTCTTAATCGCATCTAATCAATCTATTCCTCCAGGGACAGAACCTAACTGAATTTAACAGCTTCCACCGCTCGAGGAGCTCTTTCAAATGAGCTATCATTCAAAAAATCGATTTTTTCACCCCAAAATTGAGCTTACTCCCCTATGATTTTTGACCATTTCGAGCCCTGTATCTCGGCCCATATTGTCGTCCCAATCGAAATGGTGACATATAATATGTCCAAATCGAGTTTGTTTAGTATGTATTCCGAAATTATTCCGACATATACTAATTGACCTTATGTCTCAAAGTTAGAAATTAGAATATATTAACCATATTCCTTAGTTCTACATTCCCTACCCTCCACCTGAAGCAGCTGGAAGCTTTGCCGAAAGTAGCCAACAAGCCGCTGGGAGACGTCGCCATCGTGACGGAAATGGCAACGGAGGAGATGGAAATGGAGGGAATGGTTATCGTGGTCGTGGACGGCGCCGTCGCAATGGAGGCAGAAATGGTAGAAGAGGAGGAAATGGCGATAATTGAGGAGGATCTGCCTATAAATGAGGACGAAAATTGTTGAAAGAATTGAAGAGAAAAATTTAGTTTTAGAAAATTACTGTTGCGAGGATTGCCTTTATTAAACACTATCTCTCTTTTGTAAATCTTCTATTAAAGTACCACCCTTTAGTTGACAAAACAAATTTATATGGAAAAGGAATATTAAAAATAAGCAATCATAGGGTTCTGATTGTGGGATAATCCATTTTGGGTCCTTTCCACTATGGTTCTATTATCTTCCATGCAGGGCACGCGGACATATCGGGACGGACATATCGAGATATTTCAATGTACGAACAGTTACCCTACTGATTTCTGGACCTACGGCCACAGGGTCTTGGATAGTATATAGTCCTATTGCGGAATAGAGTTTTTATGTTTTAGAACAAACGTAAACACGCAATAATTTATTTTTGTCACCCCAATCCCGATATGTCCGCACACCCCAAGCAGTGGATTTTCTCCCTATGAAAACATACATAAGCAAGAACTTACTTTAATATACACTCATGGATAATCCCAATTTAGATACATTTTTTGGACAGTAATTGGGTGAGGACCGGCTAGCGATATCCCCTATCTAACCCCCTCATTAAAAGTAACATTTTTCAGCTCCAAAGGTGTGTCTTTATGGGGTCAGATGCAATATATTTGGTAAAATCGAGTGGTATTATAATAGAGGATTTCGGGTATTTAAATTTGTTTCTCCTTTTTTCGTGAGGATAAAAGTATTTGAGATTAATAAATTAGCAAAAGAACACAGTCAAATAATCAAAGAAATTGCTAAGTTTTAAGGTTAAAATAATTCCTGGTTAAACAGCTGAATCTCCAAAACTAGGATTTCTTTAGAAAAATAATTTTGAATAAAAATAATCCATCGTCGAGTTGCTAATAGAACAGTCGGATATTTCGAATGATATATGATACATTATGTATCAAACAAAAAACCTCAAAATGGTCAGGGAAATATCGAAAAAAAGGGGCGAATTCCAAACTATTACTGAAAATAGTTTATTTCATTTTGAAAGTAGTCAAAGATCAAACAAATTATTTTTCAATAAAATTCTTTAATAACTAAAGGTTCAAAGATGTCATATTTAAATGGTTTAGTCTTCAAATCATTTCCAAAATTAGTTTCAATTGAACAACATCCCAAGTCAACATTAGGTTGAAATGAGTAAAATTTGTTTTTTAATAATATAGCTTTACCTTAAAAACATTTTTTATAAAAATATTCTGGTACTTTTGGTATATGCCCCCCCCCTCCCTGCCCTTATTCTTTCTTTCATCATGCCCATCATTTATTTTCCTCATGCATTAGTTAAGGTGCATTAAGTGGTTAATGTGCATTAAGATCTCTCAAATTCCCCGACTTTCGGGAACTGGGACCAACCCTAACTAATAACCGAACTAGGGAAGGGGGGGGGGCAAAATTTGCCTCTCGACATCGATCTCGGCTTTTCCAGCCTCGATGATCCTCGGTCTCGGTTTTTCCAAATAACCGAGATCTACTCTACTCAAAACTAGAGAGAGGGAGGGGGCAAATATATCCAAAAAAAGCGCCAAAATATTTTATAATTAAATATATTTATTACCAATTTGTTTTCCATTTTGTGTAAAGAAAATATAAGGAAATTCATTTAATTTATTAATTGGAGGATAAACTAATCCACAACCAAAAATATCGTTATCATTGAAGCATGTTTCAAGTTCAACTGCTTCACGACGCTCAATAAAAATTGTAGCTTCATTTGCCCAATAAAAAATATCTCTATTTTTAATTAAATTTTTGAGACCAATAACCAATCTTCTTCCATTTTTATTTTCTAATTCTCCTTCAAATTTACATTTAACTTCAAAATAATATAAAAAATAATTTATATTATTTCGTGGTTTGTTAAATGAATTTTCTGCATAGACTACAAACACTCTATTACAGCCTAAAAAGTATTATAAAAAATTTAAAATACAAGGGATGGGTCGCGTTACCCGAAACCCGGTCTTTTTCCTCACCCGAAAAAGTAATAGTTTGGCTGCCCATCTCCTCTTTCCTTTCTAGTTCTTTCAATTTTTTTCACATTTTATGGCAAATTATATTTCATTTGAATGAGCACTTCAAGCTGAGTCGGTTGGTAGTAAGTTCTGAGCAAAGTTATGCCAGTTGTTTTAATCCATGGCATCGGAACAAAATGCTTTTCCAATGAGGATTTGTTAAAAATCATCAAATCTAACCGATTTTGGTATTATTTGACTCAGCTTGAAGAGCTCTTTCGAATGATAAACAATAAATCATACATAAAAAAGCTCAAGATGGTCAGAGAAACAAGAAAAAAGGTGGGGTAGCCAAACTATTACCCCCGAAACTCGTTCCGAAAAAAATTTTGTACATACGATAAGAAACACCGACCCCACATTTTTCTCAACCCGGACCATCTCTGCAATAAATACCTTCACCATTCTTTAACTTGTATTTAATATTTCCATCATTAATTAAATTTCCATATCCATTACCCTTAATACATTTATTAACGGGGTTTTTAGTATTTATACAATTATTGAAACAACATTCACTATCAATTTTACTCCATTTATTTGTAATTTTGACAAAACACTTTAAAAAATATTTATTAAATTAATTTAACTAAACACTCATTTATTACAAGTCAGTTTGGTGGTTGAGAACTAGGGTTGGCCCTGACTTTCGGGGACGGGGCAGGGACCAACACTATTGAAAGACCCCTTTTTTATGTTTCCCTTTGCAGCATCTATTCTCATTTTATTAAAAATTAAATACCCCATCCGATTTAGCTCCTCGAGATGAATCGAATGACACAAAAATCAACAAAATCTGTTATAAATCTACAAAGTTATGACCGTTTTTAGTCTCTTGCGTCAGCACAAAAAACTTTTACATCTGGGATTTAGCTTTTTAATCTTGTACAGAATAATTAAATCTAATCAATTTTGGTATCATTGACCCAGCTCGAAGAGTTCGAATGATATCAAAAAAAAAAGGAATCATAATGATCAGGAAAACAAAAAGAAGGGTTTGATCAAAATTAACTAAATTGCCTAGTCTATATTGGGAGCAGCCTAATCCACCTCAGAGGCCATAACTTCTTTCAGAATTGTAGAATCCTGGAAACCTTGGTATGGTTCGATACGCCTCGACAAGCTGAATCCAACCATACCAAGTTGCCTCAGATTCGACAATTTTTAACAAAGTTATAGCCTCGGCGGTAGGTTGGGTTCGCGGTAGGTTGGGGTGTACCCATCTATATTTTATCTATTTTTTAATTTTTCATTTAAAAATACAGTGTGTTAAGAAATTATAACCCCCCTTGAATTTTTTGTGTTTCTCTATCTTCCCGTTAGTGGATTGTTCTGAAATTTTTGCAGTAGTGTTGTAATGTATATTAAATGATATTTACAAAATATCTTTAAAAATTTCTGATCTAAAACTTTTTTATGGACGTTTTTGCAAAAAATTAGTGTTAATAAATTATAACCCCCCTTTATTAAAATTTTTGTTTTACGGTCAAAAAATCCACAAAAATTTTTCTGAACATATCTACAAATATAGATGAGAAATACAAAAGAAATGAAGTTCTTATGTACTCCCATCATCAAGATCTCGAAATCCGAAAATCAACGTAAAACGGGGGTAAAGGTCTTTAAAAAATATTTTAGACACCTTACAGATGAAATAAAAATTTTATTTTGGGCTTATCTGAAAGCCCTTAAAATTTGCTACAAGATACTTTTCATCTCATAATCAAGAAAAAATTCATCATTGAAAAATAATGAGTTTAATTTATAAGTTACATTTTTGTCACTTTTTGGGGGCGTTGGAGTGATTTTTATGACTTGAAAGTTTATCACTTTGTCTCTCGACGGTGAATTTTTTTTGTATAATGAGATAAAAACTATCTTATAGCAAATTTAAAGAGCTTTCAAAAAAGTATAAAATAAAAATTTAACTCACCCTATAAGAGGTCGAAAATATTTTTTAAAGACCTTTACCCCCGTTTTACGTTGATATTCGGATTTCGAGATCTTGATGATGGGAGTACATAAGAACTTCATTTCTTTTGTATTTCTCATCTATATTTGTAGATATGTTCAGAAAAATTTTTGTGGATTTTTTGACCGTAAAACAAAAATATTAATAAAGGGGGGTTATAATTTATTAACACTAATTTTTTGCAAAAACGTCCATAAAAAAGTTTTAGATCACAAATTTTTAAAGATATTTTGTAAATATCATTTAATATACATTACAACACTACTGCAAAAATTTCAGAACAATCCACTAACGGGAAGATAGAGAAACACAAAAAATTCAAGGGGGGTTATAATTTCTTAACACACTGTATTGTTTGTACCTTTTTAATTTTTTCATCCAAAAAATTAATTTTCTCCTCTTTTTGATCATTTCTTGTTTTTAATTGCATATTTAAATTTTTAATTTTATTTTCATTATCAGAATTTGTTTTTTGAATTTTCTAAAATTATTTGATTTTTTAAATTAAATCTTTAAAAAAAATTTTAACTAAAACAGATACGGTAATAGTATTTTCAAAAAGTTTCAATTCGGCAATTGGGGCTTCTTTGGGAATTTTAAATAAAAAATATAAATTAATTACGTTTTTAAGTGCATCCTCCAAAGACCTAATTTTGTCATCTTTTTGTTTTAAACAAATATTGTGTTCAGATTTTAATTGTAGAATATTTTGTTTTAAATTTTTAATTTCGTTTCCTTGTTGTTCCAAAAAAAGTTTTTGGATTTCCTAAAAATAATATTTAAAAAATGCCCCAGCTGGACGGTAAAGTCAAAGTGCTTCTTACAAGGGATATACACTTTAAACTCAACAAAAAATTATTTTCTCACCTCAACTTTTTCTAAACGTTGTTTTAAACTTTTAATTAAATTTTGTGATAGATGACAAGAAACACAAGTTTTTGATTTGCTTCCGTCATTCATTTTTTGTTTGGATTTTAAATTAAATATTTTAAAAGAATTTTATTTAAACAAAGCTAAAAATTAAAAATTTATTTTATCCAATTTTTATAAATTTAGGAAATAAGTCAAAAAATAAATTGAGAAAAAACTGAGTGCCAGCTGGATTTGTCGGCTTTAACTTTTTGATATTTGATCAAATTCAATAAATTTTATATCATCGGAAGCCCTCGGTTAGCGGTACCTTATTTTATAGGATAGATCAGGTCTAATCACTCATTAAAAAGTTATAACACGATAAATCTAGTTATTTGGTGTGTTGCAAATTTATTGGGTATAACACTTCAACGAGTGCTAAGACTTGATCCATTAAGTTGGAAAAAAATTCTCCTTATGAAGTGCTTTCGAAAGATATAAGATTTATTTGAATTGGTTCAGGCATCAAAAAGTTGAAGCCGATCAAATTCGGCTGGCACACAGTTTGTGTGCGTATAACCCGTTTTTTACCAAAAATAGACGAGATTTTTGCTTAATATTTTTGAAGGGGCGTGGCTTAAGGGGGGTAAACTACACAAGTATATTTTTCAAACTAAAATTTTAATTTTATGAAGAAATTATAATAAAAAGTTAATTGATGGAACTGAATTAAAATTGATATATTTATATGTACATATATGTATTAAATGATTTTTTGCCCATAGAATGATTTGTTGTTGGGAAGAAAAAAGGGAAGAAAAAAGAGAAGAAAAACGAATTAATTTATTTTTTGAGGGAATAATTTAAATAAATTTAAAATAAAAAATGTTTTTAGAGGGTAATTATATAATATTTTCTATCAGAATTAAAAATAAAGATTAAAAAATAGAAAGATTTTCTCAAGAAATAAATTGCGGTGCAAAAGTTTATGCACATGCACTTTACAAAAATTGGATTGGATACAGATAATATCAAAATGCCTGCAGATATCCACCTGTATCCGTCTGTATCGCCGTAAATATGCGGATACGGATACCAAGATCAGTATCCGTGATTCAACAAGTACCTAATTAATTCAATTTAAGTAACAAACGATTCATCGGAAATAACATGGGAAGAATTTGCGCAGTTCGAACAATACCGTATTGAGGACAGACCAAACAATACATACGATTTATACCAACTCTACCATTCTGCATATGTCCTTTATAGACCACATCTTAAAATAAAGCTTCAGCAATATTATATAAATCACCAATTAATTATCCAAATAATTAATCAATTAAACAGTAATACGTTGGTTTATGACCCTGAATTATTAAATGCACGACCAACTGATATAGGAATAGGAATTCCACCACAAATTCGAGAGGTTAGTTCGAATATAAATATTGGTACTTTTCCGTTTTGTTACACCCCTTAAATTAATGCTCAAAATGATATAGGGTAATAAAAGATGCTGAGTCGAACGGTGCCCCTCTTTTTCTCAGTAGATGCCCGTGGGCCGAGGTATACGGCTCGAAATGGTCAAAAATCGTAGGGTCATTTTGGGGTAAAAAATTTTGGGGTAAAAAACTTCGAAAGAGCTCATGGAGTTGAGTGAAAGACTTGATTTACTTATCAAGTTATTTTGCTTTCAGAATATATACAGGGGTTTATTACTTAACCCGAGAATACATATTATCTTGCGTTAATTTTATTCCCGTCAAAATTTTATTCATTATATCCTTCCTTTAAATTAGTAATGTTCCTTAGCTTTACCTCGAACCTCCAACTGAAGCAACTGGAGACATTGCTGAAAGTAGCCAACAAGCCGCTGGGAGACGTCGCCCTCGTAACGGAAACGGAAATGGAGGGGCTGGAGAACACGGTGGTGGACGGGGCCGTCATAATTGAGGAAGAGGAGGGAATGGCATGATGGAAATTGAGGGGAATCTGCCTATAAATGAGGATGAAAACTGTTGAAAGAATGGAAGAGAAAAGATTAGTTTTAGAAAATTATTTTTGCGAACATTGTCTTTATAAAACACTATCTCTTTTGTAAATCCTCTATTAGGGTGAAAATTAAAATTCAGAGAAGAATTTTTATACTAGAGGATTTAGGGTATATAAATTTGGTATATTTTTTTTTATTTTCGGGAAGATAAAAGTAAAAAAAATGTTTGGCATATTTTTGGTTATCGTTATTTCATACACAACATTTTAAGGAAAAATTCCGTCATAAGTCCCGGAAACCGATTCATACAAACAATATGTCATTTGAAAGAGCTCGGCGAGCTGAGTCGAATGACACCAAAATTAGGTCCCGGTCTCACCCATGGACCGAGATATAGGCCCCCGAAAATCGAAAAACCATAGGGGGGACCAAGCACATTTTTGGGGTGAAAAATTCGAATATACAAATAATAGCTCATTTGAAAGAGCTCTTCGAGCTGAGTCGAATGACACCAAAACCGCCGTGATTGGTCAAGTTTTTTCGAAGTTATGACTAAAAAACGAACAACATAAACCTATGGGGAGGCGGCGAGGCGCTTGTGCAAAACTCCGCGCTTCGCGCGGAGTTTTGCGGCACGCGCCTCGCGGGGAGTCTACGGGCGCTGGGTCTGGGCTCGTAACTTAATCCTATTCCAATTATCGCTGTGATGGTCATGCCCGGCTTCCTCCGCAGCAGCATGAACATCCGCTGAGAACAAAGGTAAGGAGCTAAAACAAACGATCATAACTTTGTTAAATCAAATCAGATTTCGTTGATTTTGGTGTCTTTCGACTCAGCTCGAGGAGCTCTTTCGAATGAGGTATAATTTGCATTTTCGAATTTTTCACCCCAAAAATGTGCTTGGTCCCCCCTTTGTTTTTTCGATTTTCGGGGGCCTATATCTCGGTCCATGGGTGAGACCGGGACCTAATTTTGGTGTCATTCGACTCAGCTCGCCGAGCTCTTTCAAATGACATATTGTTTGTTTGAATCGGTTTCCGGGACTTATGACGGAATTTTACCCATTTTAATTTTAAATGTTTTGCAATTCGCCAAATATAATGTTTGGCGAAGTGTTTTTTTAACAGACATTATTTCCTGTCTCCTCGTTTTGTATACTATTTTCACCCAAAAATGCGACTATTTTTACGTCTAAAATTAAATTAATTTCTACAGCAAAAAACATTTTTTTATTCATTTGACTGCTAAAAAAAGAGCTAATTAAAGCGAGAAAAGTTCCGTTAAATATAAAAATCCATAAAATATATTATTTTAATTATAAGCTGCTTGATATTTAGGGAAGAAAAAGGAGTAATTTTGTGTGTCTTTTAGCAGCAGGATGCTTTTAAAAGTAAAAATTTTTCTTGGATTATTTTTTCTTTGGAACATTTTTTGATTATTTTAAAAGAGAGAAGAGAGAGGGAGACTTGTTCTTAGCGGGACAAACCCAATTCGGCGCGCACCCATAAAGGCGCAAAGCCTTAACTTGCTGGAATATTTCTGGCCCTAGTCATTTTTGGTATCAATCTCTTTAGTTCGATGGGAGGAATCGTTTAATAATAAATTTGGTAAGATTCTGAACTCTTGAAGCAAGTTTTGGCTTTGCGCCGTTATGGCCGCGCGCCTAGCTGTACCCCTTTTTAGGGAGAGAAAAACGGATCCCGTTTAGGCGCGCACCCATAACGGCGCAAAGCCTTAACCTGATGAAAATTTTCTGGCCCTTATCATGTTTGGTACCAAACTCTTCAGTTCGATAAGAGGAATCGTTTAAAAATAAATTTGGTAAGATTCGGAAATCTTGAAGCAGGTTATGGCTTTGCGCCGATATGGGCGCGCGCCGAGTTGTACCCCTTTTTAGGGAGAAAAACGGGTTTCGAGTAGTTACTTTTCTGAGAAATTTTTTGGGGGGGCTGTGATAGTTTTTTTTTCTTCTTTGTTTTTCTTTGTTTTTTTTCTTTTTTTTTCTTCTCCTTTCGCTGCAACTTTATAACAAAAAAATAACTCGTCGAAAAACTGGTGCTTTAAAGAGAAATTAGAAGGGAATTTATATTTATTTAATTAGCAAAACTCTTGAAAGAAAAGAGGAGAGATCTCCTTTACCAGCTACCTAATTTATTTAATATTTAGGTAAAATCAATCAGAAAAAATAATTATAAAAATAATTTTTGAAGGACGCTAAAAATTTGAAAAAAAATTATTTTTAATTAAATTATTTCTTGCTTCTTTCCCCCAAATTATCTTTAATTAATCGAATATGTCAAAAACAACATTAACTAATACCCTTAGATTTTTTCTGATATTTATTTTTATAAATTTAATAAATGCAAGAATTGAACCGGAACCTAATACTAAATGGAATAGATATTATGGTAAGGTTAACTGGTACTATGTTGTTTCCCTCCCACCAAATTTTTTTCTCTATGTACATTTAGCGATTGGCTCAGGAAATCGCTAATTCGGGGGAAATTGGACCTAGGTGAATTGTCTACACAAAATAAAAATATTTATTTACTTTAAATTAAATTTACAAGTGATTAAAAGGTGAAGTGAGTAATCCTAAGACTGGAAAAACACTTCAAACGTGAGAAGGAACTAGGAAAGGGTATTAGGAAAAATGTAGGAAAGAATACTAGGAAAAATGTAGTAGGGAAAGGAACAATGTACAATTAATGAACAGAAATGCCTCTTTTAAAGGGAACAAAATAAGGATATGTTTTTAAAGATAAACGTTTTAGATAACAATTGTATGGGAAAAATTGTGGAATGTGAAAGGATGAGTAATTATAAATTAAATTAATTATAAATTTAATATATTTTTAATTAATATTAGAATTCGCGTTTAGAAACGCGACACTGCCGGGCTAGGAAAATCGAAAATTTGTATTTTTTTTCTTTCCTTCTTTCGGGTTCTTTTCCAATTTGGGAGCATATTCTTTTTTGTGTGGTCATGGATGGGCAGGGTTTCTTCGATTGATCCGGATTCCAGTATGCGCACCCGGGAGGCAATGTGGTAGCATCGGGGAAGTTTGAGTGAAGTCAGAAGAGGTGGGCCTTCAGCGAGGGGGATGTCCACGGCAGCCGCTTCACCATCGAGGGTTTCAGGAGCAGCAGCAGGTGGTGAAGGAGGTTGAACACGTGGGTGAGTCGGCGTAGTTTCTGTTGGTGGTGGTGAGTATTCCGTAGTAGCAATACCAATTGTTGGAGTAGGGTCACATTCCATATTCGTGTCGGTTGATGCTGAGTGTTGAGGCCTGTTAGCTTTTAACAAAATTTTGGATTTTTTATTATTAGGGGGTAATTCTAAGTATCGCTCTGAGCGATATTGGGTGGGTGGATTAAGGTCTGGAAGAGCTGAAAGTAGGATTTGCCGGGAGTCGCGGAGATTTTTCAAATATTTTTTCAAGTGGAATAGCGTATTTAAATATGGGACGGTAGCAACAAAATTTTCATAAATAGGTGTGTCGGCGGTTAGAAAACGGTGTCGCTGTTAGAAAACGGTGTCATTGTTCCTTTCCCTACTACATTTTTCCTAGTATTCTTTCCTACATTTTTCCTAATACCCTTTCCTAGTTCCTTCTCACAATTAATGAACAGAAATGCCTCTTTTAAAGGGAACAAAATAAGGATATGTTTTTAAAGATAAACGTTTTAGATAACAATTGTATGGGAAAAATTGTGGAATGTGAAAGGATGAGTAATTATAAATTAAATTAATTATAAATTTAATATATTTTTAATTAATATTAGAATTCGCGTTTAGAAACGCGACACTGCCGGGCTAGGAAAATCGAAAATTTGTATTTTTTTTCTTTCCTTCTTTCGGGTTCTTTTCCAATTTGGGAGCATATTCTTTTTTGTGTGGTCATGGATGGGCAGGGTTTCTTCGATTGATCCGGATTCCAGTATGCGCACCCGGGAGGCAATGTGGTAGCATCGGGGAAGTTTGAGTGAAGTCAGAAGAGGTGGGCCTTCAGCGAGGGGGATGTCCACGGCAGCCGCTTCACCATCGAGGGTTTCAGGAGCAGCAGCAGGTGGTGAAGGAGGTTGAACACGTGGGTGAGTCGGCGTAGTTTCTGTTGGTGGTGGTGAGTATCCGTAGTAGCAATACCAATTGTTGGAGTAGGGTCACATTCCATATTCGTGTCGGTTGATGCTGAGTGTTGAGGCCTGTTAGCTTTTAACAAAATTTTGGATTTTTTATTATTAGGGGGTAATTCTAAGTATCGCTCTGAGCGATATTGGGTGGGTGGATTAAGGTCTGGAAGAGCTGAAAGTAGGATTTGCCGGGAGTCGCGGAGATTTTTCAAATATTTTTTCAAGTGGAATAGCGTATTTAAATATGGGACGGTAGCAACAAAATTTTCATAAATAGGTGTGTCGGCGGTTAGTTCCGCTCCGGTCATGTTTATACGGACCGATATGCATTGTTCGTGTGTGGAGGAAATATCTGAAATGGTTTCTAAAACATATTCAAGCTCTATTTCTAATGATCTCAACAATTTCCGGGTGTCGGAATGAAGTTGGGATAAACTGACATTGTCATGTGGAAGTGGGAAAGTTTTTTGGTTATCGAGAATTTCTAGACCTTGCTCTTGGAGGAGGGTGAGCAGGTCACGGCAGGGTGCGGACATAGTGAATTAAGTGAAGAATAATTAAAAATTTTAGAAATGTGTTGAAACCGGGAAGTCCGTAAAGGCCAGTTCCGCAGAACGCAAACAAAATTGAGGAAAGTCTGGTGGATCGGTGAAGTCTTCACCGGCTGAGCTTTAGCGATTGGCTCAGGAAATCGCTAATTTAGGAAAAACTTCTAAGTGAATTTAAACAAATTTATTTACTTTAATTTAATTTAACAACTATATTACAAAGTGTGGTGATCAAAGGAAAGGTGCAAAAAGTACTTAATGGGAAAGTTAGGAGAGAAGTGAGAAGAGTAGTTCAGGAAGAAGCAATGAAGTGAGAAGAATACAATAGTGGAAAAAAGCGATTGTCTTTTAAAGGGAATAAAAGTATATGCTTTTAAAGATAAAAACTTTAGATAAAGAAATTCTGTGGGAAAACGTCGAAGAATGTAAAGGGGATGAGTAATTATAAAATAAAAATTATAAATTAATTATAAACTCGCGTTGAGAAACGCGACACTCCCGGGCCAACAATTGGTTGGACAGTAATAAATTGGAATGGCAGGAGTGGAGTTGCGGGGGTTACGATTGGTACCCATAATGATCGAATTGAGGGGGCTCGATTAGTAATTAGATTGTGGGAGACATTTGGAGGTGGTGGCGGGGTTAGTAATGTCTGTATATAGTTAGGGTTAATATAAATCTTATTAAGGGGAGTGGGTTTCGAAATTGTGTGTTTTTTGTGAATCTTTTTATTTCTTTTCCTCTTCCCCTTTCTTACTGAATTCTTCTTTATTGTTTGTTCGTGGATGGTGCCGTATTCGATGGTGCCAGTTTCCAATATGCGCACTCGGGCGGCGATGTTGTAGCTTTGTGGGAGTTTGAAGGAAGCCAGGGACGGTGGTTTGAAGGAAGCCAGTGAAGGGAGTTTGAAGGAGGCCAGTGAAGGGAGTTGTGGGCGAGTTGAAGTAGTTTCTGTTGATGGTGGTGCTGAGGATTCTGTGGTGGCAATTCCAATTGTTGGAGTCTGGTCGCAATCCATGTTGGGGTCGGTTGATTGTGGATGATGTGGCCTGTTAGCTTTTAACAAAATTTTAAATTTTTTATTATTAGGGGGTAATTTCAAATATCGCTCGGAGCGCCCTCCGCCCCGGAATAAAGTTGGGTGGTTTTGGGCTTCCATAATGTGATTAGTACGGACAATGTTGTCCACGTGTTTATTTACTCTTATTTTACCAGTAATAGCTGGGTTTGGTTCGAAGGGGGTGTTTTGAATACAAAAATTAGTCATCGTGTTATTGTTAATTACCTTTTCTTGTGGAGAATGTGTTGGCTTAATGCTTAAATTTTGAGGGGGTATTGGGGAGGATGTGTACATGTTGTGATAAAAATACGGATTAAATCCGAGATATGGTGGGAAATTCTGGTAGGGGAAATATGAGGGCGGTGTGTTCGAATTCGGAAATAGTGGGGAAATCTGGTTAGTGTTTATTGGACTGTATTTGTTAGGGGCGGACGTGGATTGAATATTGTTGGTCTGTTGGTTACCTTTTTTCAAATTGGTAGGACATAATGGTCTGGGGTGATTACCGTGACACTGCGAGCATTCACTGGGCGAAGGACAGTTTTTAGCAAAGTGATTTGGCTTCAGGCACCTAAAACATCTTTTAAGGGCTCTGAGTCGGGAGTGTCTGGAATTTATATCTGAAAATTTTACACAATTGGACGAAAAATGTCCACTCTCTTCACAAAACAGGCATGGTAATTTTGGATTAATGGTTGGCCTAGAAAATTTACTTTGCTCTCTTCTCTGAGTAGCAAACGAAAGGGAAGAACTTTGTAAATGGGATTGGTTTTGTGGTGAATAGGAGTCCGATTGGGACTGCGTGGGTGTAAAAAATTTATTAATTTTAGGCGGTTTCATGGGGGATTGGATTTCTTTATTTTGGTCCCTTATGGCACAAACCCCAAGTTTACGTTTAAGTATAGTTTTTAAAACATTACGTAATTTGTCGGTGCTCCAATTACCAGCTTCCTTGGCCTTGAGTATTTCTTCCAAAATTGGTGGTGGGAGCTTGCCTTCAATTTCCATTTGTATAGAGAGTGTGTTGGTATCGAAATTCTGCTCCAGCATTTGCAAATAAATAATTTCGAACTCGTCGACAAATGTCGAGAGTTCTTTACACAAAATTTCCGGTCCGTGGTTGGAATGGACAATTGGTAATTTTCGAAGGGAAATATGTAAATTTCGGTTTATTTCATCGGGTTGTCCATAATTTTCTTTTAAAAGACGAATAGCTTCGTTGTAAGAAGCATCGGTGAGTGGGAGTGATTTGACAAGTAAAAGAGCCGGTCCACTTAGACATTCTTTTAAATAGGAAAATTTTACAGAATTGGAAATAGTGGTTAAATCGTGGACTCCGGCACAGAATGAATTCCAAAAAGAAACATATTCAATACAATTGCCCGAAAATTTGGGAAGCGATATTTTCGGCAAGTGCATATGTGATTGTGTGGGTTGATTGGGATCTGGAAGAGCGGAAAGTAGAGTTTGTCGGGAAGTGCGGAGAGTTTTCATATATTTTTTCAGTTGAAATAATGTACCTAAATATGGGGTGGTGGTCACAAAATTTTCATAAATAGGTGTGTCGGCGGTTAGTTCCGCTCCGGTCATGTTTATACGGACCGATATGCATTGTTCGTGTGTGGAGGAAATATCTGAAATGGTTTCTAAAACATATTCAAGCTCTATTTCTAATGATCTCAACAATTTCCGGGTGTCGGAATGAAGTTGGGATAAACTGACATTGTCATGTGGAAGTGGGAAAGTTTTTTGGTTATCGAGAATTTCTAGACCTTGCTCTTGGAGGAGGGTGAGCAGGTCACGGCAGGGTGCGGACATAGTGAATTAAGTGAAGAATAATTAAAAATTTTAGAAATGTGTTGAAACCGGGAAGTCCGTAAAGGCCAGTTCCGCAGAACGCAAACAAAATTGAGGAAAGTCTGGTGGATCGGTGAAGTCTTCACCGGCTGAGCTTTAGCGATTGGCTCAGGAAATCGCTAATTCGGGGGAAATTGGACCTAGGTGAATTGTCTACACAAAATAAAAATATTTATTTACTTTAAATTAAATTTACAAGTGATTAAAAGGTGAAATGAGTAATCCTAAGACTGGAAAAACACTTCAAACGTGAGAAGGAACTAGGAAAGGGTATTAGGAAAAATGTAGGAAAGAATACTAGGAAAAATGTAGTAGGGAAAGGAACAATGTACAATTAATGAACAGAAATGCCTCTTTTAAAGGGAACAAAATAAGGATATGTTTTTAAAGATAAACGTTTTAGATAACAATTGTATGGGAAAAATTGTGGAATGTGAAAGGATGAGTAATTATAAATTAAATTAATTATAAATTTAATATATTTTTAATTAATATTAGAATTCGCGTTTAGAAACGCGACATACAAAATGGTCAATCATTTTTTCCTTGCATAATGTCTTAATGAAGGAAGTGTAAGACAGGAATCCTGACTACCCAGTTAACGATTTTCCCGAAATCGGGAACTCCCGCCGTCGTTTTTTGGGCCGAGAAGTCCCGAAATCGGGAAATTTATTTTTTTTGTCGACAAGATCCCTGGTGTAAGTAATGGTTGTGTGGAAATCCACAAGGAAATTTTGTGCAATTATGCAAGAAAGATGGGATTGACCATTTTGTACATTACAGAAAAAATTTAGTGGGGGAGCCACCTCCTTGGAAGTTTAAAAATCGCCCTAGTAACTCTATCTCACAATGTTATACTCCCTCGATCGTTCAGCTATCTTTTATCTAATACTAAATTTCGCTGTTAACCCCAAATTAAAACCCCAAATCCAACAAGTTCAATCACTACCTCCTTTTATTTACAGGCAATCCAGGAATAAAACTAAGATTAACCAGAAAAGGTGCAGAATATGTTAAAAATATAGCTGTAAAGGTTAGAAAACGTCAAATATTTTTTAAAATTTAAAAATTCTTTAAAGTTATTAAATGAGCAATTGGCTACTTTGCACGGATTTAGAGCCCAAGTCTGTCTAAATTAATTAATTAAAAAAATTATTTTTTAAAGCATCCATTCGAAGAAGCCGGAATTAGAGGAAATATATTTGTTAGTGATGTACAAACATTATCTTATCGTCCACCAACTCAATCAAATCTACATTTTATCCCTCCACACTTTTTCCTTTTTTCGTTCGAAAATGCTGCGATAACGTAATTTTTATTTTTAAAATTTATTAAAAAATATTAAAAATAAAATCCGATTAAAATAGCTAGAAATGATCCTTCTTTAAGCTTGATTATAACCCTTGATTTTATTTTAAAACTTATAATTTATTTGTAGCCTTTCCGGACGTTTCCACGGCGATGCAGGTCCTTTACTCCAAATTCCAGGTACCGTATTTGGCCAACTTCAAGGTTTAAATGTTGAGGTATGTTTCATTTTTACAAACTTGAGAATTAAAGTTAATAGTTTATACAACTTTACAAACTTATTTCTAACTTTTTTGCATCTCTTTACAAACTTATAAACTTATTTACAAACCTTTCCTGTAAATTCACATATTTTCCAACTTTTTTGCAACTTTGTTAACAAACATTTTACAAACTTTTTAAAACTTTTTTCCCGACTTTTTTTCCAACTTACCAACTTTTTACAAACTTATCTTCCAACCTTTTACAAACTTTTTTTCCCAACTTTTTTTCCAACTTACCAACTTTTCACAAACTTTTTTACAAACATTTTCCAACCTATTACAAACTTTTTTTACAAACATTTTTCCTACACTTTCACAAACTTGATTTAATTAAAGTTTAATTAATCCCCAACTTTTTTCAAGTTTATTTACTTAAAGTTTTACTTATTTTTCACAAACTTAAGTTTGTAAACTTTAATTTCTCTTTAATTTTAGATGGCTACACAATTAAGAGCAATTGACGGATTAATTTCTGTCTCGGTTACTCATTGCAGAACAAATTTACGTTTTTCGCAATTTACAATAAATCCTGAAGGGTTGCTTGGCCCGATATTAAAAATATTTGAAATTACAATTAATGATTTAATTAGACAACGAATTCCTGATCTTTTATGTAGATCTTTGAGGGATATTGTTGAACGAAACTCTCCTCATTTATTTCAACGAATTACTTATATTCCTTTAGGGGAGCATTTTTCTACTTTTGGGAATGGAACTGATGGTGTTATTGAAAGGTAGAGGTTAGATTAATAGTGGGAAATTATTAGGGGTGAATTTAAGAAAAAAATAATACAGTCAACTCTCCTTATAATAAATTAAACACTCTATATTATAAACTTTAAATCTCTCTATAATAGACTCTCTTTATAATAGTCAAACCTTCTGTATTATGAACGCTCAATACAGTAGACTCGTTATGATAATCAAACCCCTTCTATATTATGAACGCTCAATAGACTCCGACTCGCTATTATAGACTACCTAAAAAATTTTTAAAAATTCCAAAACTAGATTTGTACAACGCCTTTCTAATGGCTTATTTATCGATGGAAGAATGGTTTCTGACCCTGTAATAACCAACGATTATTTTGAAACACAACAGAGAGGTCCCAAAATGTTTTTAAAAAATTTCAATTTAAAAAATATTAGGTGAATTACGTTATCCAGAATCCTATCATTCTGCTCCCTTCTTTCCACAGCCAATTCCAATAGAAAATGATTCACAAAGAATGTTTTATTTGTATGCTTCTGATTACACATTAAATTCGATGTTATATCAGGTGAACTCTACTTCAATGGACATTTTGTGTAATAACTCTTGAATAACCTAATCTTCTGGGAAACTTTTTATATCATTGAATAGAGAATTAAATTTGCTATAAGATTACAGAAAATCATAATTTTAGATAATTTTTGAAGAAAGTTGTGGCGGAAGAACTAGCTCAAATTTTCTTAAAACTTTGTTGGGAACGTTGGTTTTTTGGCCATAACTTTTCCTTTTTAAACCTAAAATTCTGATTTTTTAATATGTTATAGAAAATTTAATTCTCTATCGAATGATATATAAATCTTCTCAAAAGGTTCATCCATTCAAGAGTTATAAAGCAAAAAATCAACTCCCCCTCTACTTAAATATTTTTTAAATTTATTTAAACTAGGCCTTTCAACTGGATAGATTAACCATTAGAGTTGAAGAACAAAGCTTGCCAGCTTTATATCGAACTTTTGTTCGAACAACCTGTCCAGATATAGATCAAGCTGGAGGGGACTTTTTAAAGACTATTTGTGTTGGAAAACTTGTGCCAGCTTTGGGGAAACAATTTCCAAATACTACAACGTAAACACTAGAAAACTGATAAAAAAATTTTTTAAATATTTTAACTTGATAGAAAATTTGTTATGGTACCTCATCAATTGCCTGAAATGCAATTTAAAAAGGGATTGGGAACAATGGACTTGAAGGGTTGGTAACTTTTTATTGAGTGATCAGAAGAAAGAGTTTAGCTAAAGTTTAGCCACCGGGCAGGATTCGAATCTGGGCATACTCGTAGTTATTGATAGACGCTTTCGCTCACCACACACAGGAGTTTTACTACTGAGATATCCTTTTAGATCGTTTAACCCCCGCCTAAGCGTTTTAAATGCTCTAGGTGACTCATCCTTACACTGACTGATCCATCCATTTGGGAAAAAGATACCCCTTATCGAGGCTTTCGAATGATATAAACTTTATTCAGATTGGGTAAAGATTAAACAAGGTATGGTCAATCAAGTTAGTTGGCTCTCAGTTGATTATGATCTTTAATCTCTCAAGCTTACCTCTTCCCCTATCTCTTCCCCTTATCATCATTCACAGTCTAAAATTAAAAAATTTTCTTTTCAGCACATATTCTAACATTTATCCGAGACCGTCAAACTCACAAGGATCGCCAAGTTTTGGTCACTTCAGCTGATGGAACTGCCGACATTAAACTAAATGCAGAAAATGATAAATTTGGAGGGGATTTGAAGTTAAAAAAATTGCTAGTTCGTTTACACCGTTCAGCTATTCAAATTGAACCAGAAAGTATTTCACAATTAGCTCCTTTAGCAAAGATGTTTCTTGGCCCAGAATTGGCTAAAGCGTTGAAACAAGGATTGCCTTTTCCGTTAAAAGTAGGGGAAAGAATTATTCTGTTTTGCGGACAATATTCTATTTTTGCGGATAAAGGCTGCAGAATTTAGAACGTACACTCGCTGGGCCTTGTCCAGTCCTTGTAATTCCTGGAGGCATATTGAAACCCGGAAAACTATTTTTATTATAATCCCCAAAAAATCCGAGCGGTTTGTCCGCAAAAAATTAAAATCTGCAAATTTTTTCTAAAAAATTTTTCAAAAAATTTTTTTAAGGATTCTATGAAATTCATTAACCCAAAATTAACACTTCATGATGGCTATGTTCGTCTAGCCTCTGATTTTGAGTTAAATGAACAAACTTTGCGATTGAGAATGACAGAGGCTTTTGAGAGAATTAAAGCAGAATCCGCAAATAATATTGGGGGATAATTTAATTTATTTATTTAAATAATTTATTTTTTAACAAAATTTAATTAATATTTCTATTGTAAAATAAATGAAGCTTAAAATTCATATTTAATAAGCTTTTTGGAGGTCGGTAAAATCGCATTCCCGTGATCCCGGAGCGAGATTGAGTTTATTGTACGGGACGGGATCCCGCGGGATTAATCCCCCGTAAATCCCGTGCCTAACTCTAAAGCTCATTAACAAAGACTAAAATGTCCAAAGGCCAAAAATGCTCGAGTTTCAGAAAGCATTGAATTTATCAACTGTTATACTCTCTGTTAACAACTCCAATTATTTATCGATTTTTTATTTTAAATGATCAACGCCTCGTTGATTTTTTTCAAATTTTATTTCTGGATATATCCAAAGGTATACTCTTATGCGTCACTACATATACTAGTAGTAATAAGATGAGAGAGATATAAATATCTAAGCCTTAAAACCAAAATAAATTCCTCCCTACTATATTAAAGTGATTGAATGAAAAAATTGAAAAAAAAAATAAAAAGAAAATAAATTAAAAAATAAATGCATCAAAAAGATATTAGCAAGAAAAAAGAGAAGCAGAAACAAAACAACAAATGTTTATTTGAAAGATTGTAAACTTGAATAATAGGAGAAAGTTGTAAAGAAAAATAAAACTTGGAAATATAATTGTAAATTATTTCCAACATTATTTTCCAACCTTTTTTCTCCAACTTTTTTCCTCCAACTTTTTTTCTCCAACTTTTTCTTCAACTTTCTTTCCAACTTTCTTTCCAACTTTTTCTCCAACTTTCTCTCCAACTTTTTTTCCAACTTTCTTTCCAACTTTTTCTCCAACTTATTTTCCAACCTTTTTTTCCAACTTTCTTTCCAACCTTGCTTCCAACCTTTTTTTCCAACCTTTTTTTCTCTCCTTCTCTTTCTCTCTAATAAATAAACTTGCTTTATCCTTCCATACTTTTTCTTCATTTTCCCCCAAATTTTTATTTTCCAGCATTGATCGATTTGATCCGTTCCCTGAGAGATCTTCTCTCTTGCCTTTATCTTCTCTCTCTTTTGTTCTTATAATTATCCCTTCAATTTTAAAGTTTTTATTTTTATTTTTCCAGTCTTTCACAGCCTCCTACACTTTTTGCCGAAAGTTTTCTTTCTATTTAATATTTTTGCAAAACGGCTGTCTGAAAGGAAAATTATAAAATAGCTGTTGTTATATTTAATTAGTTTTTAAAAACCATTTTTGTTTTTGTTTTGAAAAAATGCCACGGTATCATTCAATACACGATGATGTTGAAGTTGCTACTAAATGGTGGAGTGACTATCCAACACAGTAAATGAAAATTAAATTTTTAATAAAAATTGTGAAAAAATTTTAGAAAGTATACAGACATGGCTAGAGCACAAAAAACATTTAGCAATTTAATTGGGGATGTTTGGTCGAAACCGAAACGACTTGTAAGATCTGCTAGTTATACAAACTTGACGTATTACAAAGAGGCGCAGCATGATTATCCTATTAAAGTAAAATTATTAAAATAAACTTGAATAATAAAATAAACTTGATTAAGAAATTGTAAAAATAAAATTAAACTTAAGTTTACAATTACAAAAATAAACTTGAAAATACAATTGTAGTTGTATTTATATTTACAATTGTAAATATACTGCAAAATAAAACTTGAAATTTATAATTACAAAATAAACTTGAAATAAACTTGAAAATACAATTGAGAAAATTAAATTTAAAATTTAATTGTAAACTATAAAAAATAAACTTGAAATTACAATTGTAAATTAAACGTAAAATAAACTTGAAATAATTAATGGAAATTGTAAAAATAAAATAAACTTTAAATTACAATTTAGAAAAATAAACTTTGAAATAAAAAAATAAACTTTAAATTTACAATTGTAATTTACAAAATAAACTTGATAATTACAATTACAAAATAAACGAAATATAAAATAAACTTGAAACTACAATTGTAATTTAGAATTGTAAAGTTTTATTCTTTTTCAGAAAAGTACTTCTGTTTCATCATTAGCACCATCACTAGCTTTACCACAATATTATCGTCAAGCAGAGCGGATTGTTCACACCGAACGTGTTTACAAACCTTTTATGTATGACTGGTACAACAAAGCTTATTCCCAACATCGTTATATCGACACACAACGGGAGATAATGCGACCACTTAAAAGGGACCCAGCACCTCTTCGTTACAAGCCCCTAAAGTTTGAAGAATTTACCAACCGGAGTAGTTGGATTCCTTATTATTCTGGACAGACTAGAAGGATTTATAATGATGAGGCAAAAAATAATTAATTTTAAATAATATCCTCAAAATTAAAAAAAAATATTTTGTAGAGAGCAGCCCCTCTCCGTTCTTATCTACATGGATCACAACAATATTTGGACCGATATGTTTCAAATAGATTAAAATCGGACGATTTTGGACAGCGGTTTGCTTATTCCGCTTATGAATGGCGGAAGCCGCAAGACCATTCCTTCAACCGCAACTTTATGTATGGGGAAAGGTAAGAATTGTAAATTGTAATTTCCTAGTTTATTTTAAAGTTTATTTATTGTAAACTCAAGTTTATTTACAATTACTAACAAAAAATAAACTTGGATTTTTACAATTGTATTTCCAAGTTTATTTTGTAAAAAGTTTATTTTTATATAAACTTGGAATTTACAATTTATTCTTAACATTTTTACAATTGTAAAAAAGTTTATTTATTAACAATTTACAATTGTAATTTCCAAGTTTATTTTTATTGTATAGCAATCTTAAGTGTATTCAAGTTTATTTAAAGTTGTAAATATTTTTATTTACAATTGTACTCTCCAAGTTTATTTTTGTTAGTAATTGTAATATCTAAGTTTATTTTTAACTTATTTGAGAATTGTAATTTCCAAGTTTAATTTTTTATAATTTGTAGAGTGTATGTGCCTCATGCCCGGTCAAACCCGCACTCTTACACAAGTGCTTCTGCTTTGCGCAAACTATACAAGACAACTGGTCGTTTCCGTTTTGCCTAATAATGAAGGAAGGAAATTTGAATACTAAATAATGCGCGTAAATCGAAGAAAAATTGAAATTTTATTTTTTTAATTTTTTTAAATTTTTATAGTCCCCTCCCCCTTTAAATTCAACAAATTGTCCTTAAATAAATATGCCAAATTTTATTTTTTATTAATTTTCCCATTCATTCTTTTAATAAAAAGAAGAAATTCTCTTTAAAATAAGGACCTAATATTATTACAGAAAATTTTTTTCATTTAGATCAAATTATCGTTAACCATATTATTTACTAGATTTTAAATTATAAATAAAATTTATTTTCAATACAAAAATATTAATAAATCTGTAGTAAATCCAAAATTATCTTTAGACATATTTTCTCTAAAAAATTCTTTGAGAATTGTTTTAAGTTTTACAACTTTTTGTATTTTTATTTGCATTGTCCAAGTATTTGATTATGATTTTAGCCAACATGAAGTTTAGCTGCCAGACATAAGATCTCTGATATTGACATTATTTGATTTTACACCTTTGCACGATGCTCTACTGACTGAGGCTACTAATAGATAGATCATGAGAGTCCTCCTAGCAGGATAGTTTTATCCGCTCAACAATACCAACTACTGACTGGCAGTCTAAATTTTTTCTTTTCAGCTAAAGCGCATAAAGACCTTACAATATATAAATTGATAACAAATGCTCATTAATATCCACACATTTTTATGTTAGATACGAAACTTGGATTTTTGACCCATTTGCTCTAACTGATCCACATTTATGCTAGAGAATAAAAAATAAAAGTAGCTATAATAGCAGCAGTTGGAGGAAAGAAGCAAATAAAGAAAGAAAAATTTCTTTTGCCACCCACTCAAAACTTTTTTTTATTATTCTTTTTAAACAAACAATTAAATTTTTATAAAATTAAAAAAATACTCGGTATTAAAATAAAAACTTAAAAATTAATTATTATTTAACTAAAAATATTTTTTGATTGTCCAGTAAATCCGTTAACTTTAATTAATTCATTTTGATTTTTTCTCGAAAATTTTTTAAAATTTTTTAGACTACAAAAACAATTTTTTCCTTAATTTTTAAAATTAATTTTGAAAAAAATTAATTTTAATATTATTATTCCTATTATTATTAAGTACAATAAGCACTTTAAATAAACACTATAAAATCAGGTGTTTTATATTTTTAAATTAGAGCCAGTTGCTGTCTATTAGTAATTGTGAGGTATTCCACCATTTCTTAATAGTTTAGTAATTGATTGAGATATTATGTACTATTATTAAACGAAAAATCTGACAGCCATTTAAAGTGTAAAATTATTTTAAAAATTATTTTTTTAATATTTTACAAAATTAGAGTAATAATTGTAAAATTGTAATTTCAAGTTTATTTTTATTAGCAAACTTAAGGTTTCAAGTTTATTTTTAACTTTTTACAATTGTAATTTCCAAGTTTATTTCCAAGTTTATTTTCAAGTTTATTTTTTAGCAATTTCAGGTTTATTTACAATTACTAACAAAAATAAACTTGGAAAGTACAATTACTAATAGACTTAAATATATTCAAGTTTATTTAATTTTTTACAATTGTAATTTCAAGTTTGAGGTTATTTAAAATTGTAAACACTTAGGTTTATTTGTATTTATACTTTCCAAGTTTATTTTTATTAAAAATTGTAAATTCCAAGTTTATTTATAATTTATTTAAGATTGTAAATATTTACAATCTTAAGAACAATGAGAATATTTTTAGATCCAAATTTATCATACTAATCCGAAAATTAAAAAAATATTTTAAATAATTAGTATTATTAAATCACTACAATATTATAAATCAAAGTAATGCCCGTATTCTACAGGTTTTTTCGATATTAAATTTAAATATTAATTTAAAAAATAAATTTAAAGAGAGACAGTCATTGACCCAGAAAATTCTCAGAAATTGCCATATAAACAACAACAACAACAATCTTTTTACCAATCTAATGGACAACAACATCCATATCAACAAAGTAAAACTTCCTATACTTATCCAGGAAGTGAAAGAAGTAGTGGAATTTATAAAGGAAATGGAAGCAGCAGTGCTAACACAACTACAACAGCTACAGATTTCCCTGCCAATTTTCCAAAAATTCCCCCTCCAAAAGGGGTTATAGATGATAAACAATTAGAAAGGATGGCTGAACAATTAATGAAGGGGCAACAACCAACATGGGATGGACAGCAATATTCTCCTCCCGGTTGGACTCGGCACAGTCAGCAAAGCTATACAATTGAAACTGTGGTAGAATTGAATAAATTTATAAAATTATTAGGTAGAGGAGTTTAAGCAAAAGTTTAGTTATTGGACAGGAATAGAACCTGGGACCTTATAGGAGGTATTGCTATAAGCAATAACACACCGGTGTGTTGAAATACCGAGGTGATGACCTTACTTTCTCTCATGTATCTAAAACCTCCTACCCCTTTCGAAAATCATCTTAAATGCTTTTCACTTTAGGTTGAACACGAGCCTGAAACTAGACCAATATATGTTGGAAAACATTACGAGTCTGTACCTTCAAAGACAGGAATACCACCACAAACACATCCAAAACATCAATATTCTCCTTCCCAACACATGCCACCAAAGACCACCAAACAGCCGGTACCTCCTCCTTCAAGTCAAATTTATAGGCAGCCTCAACCTCAAGAAAAGTATAATTATCAGCCACCAGAACAGCAATACTATAGCAAGACAGTTCAACAAAAACCTATTCAAATACCGCAAGTAGAACCACAAAAACAATTCCCTCCCCAACAACAACAACAAAAATATTTCCCTCAACAACAAGTCCCTCAACAACAATACCCTCAACAACAAAAGCCTTCTGGAACGATTAAAGAAACAACACAAGAGAAAAAGAGTACTAGTGTTGTTGATTCTACCAACTTTCCTTCACAACAATATACCAAAACATTAACAGAATATAAAACAAATGGTTATGATTCTTCGAAAAGAGAAGGTGGTGGAGGAGGAGGTTTGCAACAAACACAAAAACAGCACATGCAAGAGCCAAGACAAGAAGAATGGCAACAACAAAAAATAATAAACACAACACAACAACCACTCCAAAACAAACTGGAATCACAACAAAAGCAATGGGAATCAATACAATCCCCCCATGAAAAATGGAAATGGAGTCAACAATGGAACTCACAACAACAACCACAACAAACTCAACAATGGGAACAACAAACGCTTCAGTGGCAACAAGCTCAGCAACAACCACCAGAACAATGGGGGCAATCGCAACAACAGTGGCAACAGGCTCAGCAACAAACTAAGGAGAAAGAAGGACAGCAATCTCAACAATGGCAACAACAACAAACACAAAAATACACTACTCAACAGCAACAGAATTTGTTAAAACAACAAACACAACAACAACAAACACAACAACAATCACCTCAAAAAACACAAAATGAACATAAGCAGCAAACAACTGAAACAACTGTACAGACACAACAACCACAAAATCTGTCGGGAACATCAAAAGCTGAACAAAAGGAAACGAGAGAACAAAAGATTGAACAAGAAGTAAGTGATGAATATGATGGTCCACCTCCAGATCTTCAATTAGCACAGGCTGATCCGGACAAAATATATGAGAAGCAACATGAAGTATATCAAAATGGGTGGCAACAAGAAGAGGTAAATAAATAAATACAAAATGGAAACACAAAAATACAAAAAATACAAGAAATTACAAAATACTAAAGATACAAAAAAACACAAAAACAAAACACAAAAAATACAAAATAAAAACACAAAAAAATACAAATTACTAAAAATACAAAAAAATACAAAATGAAAATACAAAAAATACAAGAAAATACAAAATACTTACTAAAAACACAAAAACAAAATACACAAAAAATACAAAAAAATACAAAACGAAAAACACAAAAAATACAAAAAAAAACACAAAAAAACACAAAATACACAAATTTAAAGGACTACAATCAACAGCCTTACCGCAGTCATCACCTCAATCAGCGCCAACTACAACAAACTCGAAACAACTACGACGAGCCCCTCTATATTTCTGCGGGGGGAGATGATGGGTACCAACAACAATACCATCAATATTACTCACCAAACTCACAGATTTATTGGGATAGCGTTTATAATGATGAATGGGCTTTAAGAGGAGCAAATCCCCCTTCTTTTACAACGGGACCAGTTTGGGGAGATCATTTGGCATATGCCCAACGTATGAATTTGGAGAAGCGGAGGACTGAAAGCGAGAAACAGAGGAGGCACCATACGTATTCATTTTGTAGAATAACTTGAAATGTCCGTATTTTTGTAGACCTGTGCCAGGTTCTGCTGAGTATGGCTACTTATTCGGAGGAATGGACTTTGTTGATCACAATAATTTTGACCCATCTATAAATGTTGGCGAGCCTTTTAATGAAATGCAAGAACGCCATTCTCGTCGTGATCTGCATTGGGGCCCTCCTCGTCGTAGAGGAGATTTCTTCGGATTGGATTACCGTACTATGCTTCCAGAAGAAGAGCAACACAGATCACATAGTGCGGAGGATTCTGCCTTCTATCAAGGATATCAAGCACTTCCCCCTAGAAAGAATTTTAGACTTGTAGGCCATTTTACTGCCGACCATAATGCTCCTTTAAATATGTGAGGGAATCATTTAATTTTTAAAAATGTTAAGGAAGTAAGTTTGGAAGGAAGGGGACTTCGACCCCAGTTTCAAGCCCCCCCCCCCATAGAATTCATTAATCCCCTAATTTTTCATACACCGACTCCTTCTTGGACCCTTAAGACTCGGAGGTTCACAAAAAATATTAAAAATATTTATAGAAAAATATTATTTTTTATAGAGCAGAAGCTCAAGGTTTAGACGAATTTGACTCTCAATATTGGGTTGGAGATACTCTCAGCAACCAAAAAGTTCGTCCAGAATATCCATTAACTGAAGAAGAAAAGAGAACCTTTGCTTTATTGTATGGCCCTGGAGGGTTTAAACCAGATCATCGAACAGTTATACCTGAACCGAAGCCTGAAGAGCCAGTACAGTTTTCCGTCACTATAGGACCTAAGAAGGAGAAAAAAGAGCCAGAAGGATATGTTAATCCCATGAAGGTAATTTGAATTAAAAATAGAAGTTCTCTAGCCTACTTTTTAATCCGAACGGGGCATGTTCCTTTCAGCCTACTTTCTAACCAGAATGGGGATGTTCCCTTCAGCCTACTTCTTAATTATAGGAATGTTCTCTTGAGCATATCTCTTAATAGAGAGTGAATTTATGTGAGAACGGAGGGAAAATAAATAAATTAATTAAAAAAGGTGGAAGGTGAAAGCTGGATGTTAGGACAACGAGGAGAATATGATGGCCAATATGGGAAGGTTTTGCATTCAACAGCTGAACAACATTTGCCTTTTCACCGACCCAAACACTTTCCTGCACGTGTTCCGAATTGGGCTGTTGAACGACAGAATCAAATGGGGAGAGGGGCACGCTCGTTGGACCGCTCGTTGTTTTTGCCTTCCTGGGCAAAGATTCCTCAACCACAGCCTCCATTTTGGGTTATTATTAAAAATTAGTTATTTTCCCGGTTTCTAGAGGTTTCGGTTCTAAGCCTCATTTCTGGCCGTTCCAAAAGTTGAGACTGTTTCACGGCAACCGTTTCCAGGAGCCGGGAAGCCTGTTCAAAATAAATTTCTATTTGTTTTAAAAATTATTTTTAAGGTAAAAAGGGATGGAAGTAAAGTAGCTGGGAATTGGCAAGTACCTAAACAACAGCAACAGAGTGAACTACAAGTAGAACGACAACAAGAACAACAATTTGTTCAACAACAAAAAAGTCCTTCTCAACAACAAAAACAACAACAACAATACGTTGCTAATCAACAAATAATTAATTCTCCCCAACAAAAAGAAGAAGAAAATCGTCTCCCTCAGCCTTCTCCTACCCAACAACAACAACAACCTTCACCTCAACAAAAACAAAAAACTCAACAAATCCAAAAATTGCCCTCCCCAACAGATCAAAAGCAACCACAAAAAGAGGAAACTGACAAAAATTTACAAAAATCAAAACAACAAATATTTACACAATCACAACAAAGTCGCCCTAATTATCAACAACAAACAAATGTTACTACAACTACATACACTCAAAATCAACAAATACAGGTATTTTATGACAATTCGAAGAAAATACAATAAAAGCCTAATCTATTTCTTTGATGGATTTTGTATTTTCCGGAAACATTTTAGTTGTGTTTTTAAATGTATTTTTGACGAGAAAATACATTAAATAAATCTACGTCTTTGATATTCCGGAAATTGTATTTTCCGGAAACATTTTAGTTGTGTTTTTAAATGTATTTTTGACGGAAAATACATTAAATAAATCTACTTTTCTGATATTCCGGAAATTGTATTTTCCGGAAACATTTTAGTTGTGTTTTTAAATGTATTTTTGACGGAAAATACATTAAATAAATCTACTTTTCTGATATTCCGGAGAATGTATTTTCCGGAAACTTAAATTCCATTAATGTTTATTAATGTATTTTTCAAGGAAAAACACATCCGGAAAAAATGTTTTTTCCGGAAACTTGTTTTGTGGTGCTTTTCGAAGAAAAAATACATTAAATAATCTAGTTCCGGAAATTGTATTTTCCGGAAACTTAAATTTCTGTGTTTTTATAGAATCTATTATAATAGAAAAAAATAAATCCGGAAAACACCTTTTTGTATTTTCCATAATAATATTTTTAATTATTTCTGATTTTTGTATTTTCTATTATAAAGCCGCCTGTCAATACCCAGCATACCCAACCAGAACAGAAACCCCTCCATCAGGGTTTTACTTCTGCTCCAACTGCTCAAAATCAACAACAATTCACCCAATTAATCATAACACCCTCAAAGACACACCAAACAACATTTAAACCAGCCAAGCAACCTTTAACTTCTAGTCAGGAACAACAACAGCAATTAAAACAGCAGCAACAATATTCCGATTTTTACGAGGGGGGAGGGCAAACACAAAAATCAGGTCCACAGCAAGAACAGTTTAAACAATTTACCAGTCCTGGAGGGCAATTTTATGGGCAACAGAAGGCTGGGAATGAATGGAAGGCTCCGCAACAACAATATATAGTTAATCAAACAAATCAACCGAGCGGTCAATATTATGGACGGATGCCTCAACAACAGCAACAACAATACCAGTATAGAATGCAGCAACAACACCCACAACTTCACAAAGGTGGAGGATATACAAAAACCCCTCAGAATTACCCTCAAGGGGGGATAGTGGAAGAAGAAGAAAAAAGTGGGCTCGAAAATTTGGCAAAAATGAAATTGGGAAAATTCCCAATGAGAGAATCTTTGGAAGCTCAACAAAGTTTGGAGAGTAATAATGAGCCAGTTGATTCTTCAAATATTAAAAGACAACAATTTGTAAGATCTGGACAGCCTGGGCAAGTGATAAGGGAGGAATGGCGATTTAGTTCTGGACAGCCACAAAAGGGGTAAGAAAAGAAAGAGCTCCTTCCCGCAGCTCCTCCCCCTTCTCTAAATTATAATAAGAGGGGTGTCTTAAAATTTGGGGTGTATTGGGTGTCTTAAATGTATTGGGGTGTCTTAAAATGAGGTCTGACGTATTAAAGAGCTTAATAAAAATTCAAAAATTTTTTTATTAAAAAGGACTACTGGCGGCCATCAACTACTTCAATCGTCTACCACAACAACTACCACAACTAGCTCAATAAGTGGCGATATCCAATAAAAAGAATAAAAAAATAATATATTTTGAGAGAATTTTAGGCGAAATTAATAAGAAAAGATTTTTTTAATTTTAAGAGTGAAAAACAAAATATTTTTTAAATAAATATTTTGACAATTTTTTGAGTAAAAAAATAAATTAAATTAGTTCTCGATTACTTTTTCCTCACCCCTCCACCAATTTTCTATCCGTTGACCCCGTTCGTCTACTGCATGAACATCCATTACACAAGTAAAAGTAATCCCGCAAAGGGGACTGTGTGGAATGCATTTTTTACGAGGTGTGTTGTAGATGGGTGTAGGTAATCCTGTAAATATAAAATACATTAAAAATTCTGATTTTTCCGGAAAACACATTTTATAAATAAACTGATAATTCTGATTTTCTTTGGAAAACACATTTGTTAAAATAAATAATTCTGATTTATAACGGATGTATTTTAAAAGTGTATTTTTTAAAGTGTATTTTCTCAAATAATTCTGATTTTCCGGAAAATACATTTTATAAATAAATGAAAATTCTGATTTCTGTGGAAAATACAATTGTTAAAATAATTCTGATTTATAAAACATGTATTTTTAAAGGTGTATTTTCTACAATAATTTTGGTTTTTCCGGAAAACACATTTTTTAAATAAACTGATATTCTGATTTCTGTAGAAAATACAATTGTTAAAATAAATAATTCTGATTAGTGAAAAATATACGGAAAACGCATTTTTAAAAATACTGATAATTCTGATTTTTGTGTAAAATACATTTGTTAAAATAAATAATTCTGATTTAAAAATGTATTTTTCAAGGTGTATTTTCTCAAATAATTCTGGTTTTTCCGGAAAACACATTTTATAAATAAACTGATAATTCTGATTTCTGTTGAAAATACATTTGTTAAAATACATAAATTATTCTGATTTATAACACATGTATTTTTCAAGATGTATTTTCTCAAATAATTCTGGTTTTCCAGAAAACACATTTTTAAAAAGACTGATAATTCTGATTTCTATGGAAAATACACTTCCTAAACAATAATTCTGATTTATGAAAAATGTATTTTTCTAAGGTGTATTTTCTACAATAATTCTGATTTTCCCGGAAAACACAATAATTGAAATTTTATTGATAATTCTGATTATTATAAAACACAAAATAAAAAAATTCTGGTTTACACAGTCTGTATTTTCCCAAATGTATTTTTAATAATTCTGGTTTTTCCGGAAAACACATTTTTAATTTAACGAAAATACATGTGTTACTGATTTTTCTGATGTATTTTTAGTTAGTATTTTATTACCATATGCGCAAGCAAATCCAGGCGTGTTTTGTGCAAATGTAAAGTCTTGATTTACAACAGTGTTTGAGGGCGTGTAAAAGAAGCGAAGTTTAGGTTGTTGTGAATTCTTGACATTATTTTGTGTTTGTTGTCCTTCTATTCCAGTCTTATCATCGATAGTTGGCAATTTTGGTATTTCAATTTTTTCGGCATTTAAAGGTTTTATTTTTAAATTTGGTGGGGATTGGCTTTAAAATATGTGAAAATTATTTTTAGAATTTTTAAAAATTTGAAAAAAAATTTTTTTTAATTTTTTTAATTTTTTGACATTTTATTATTTTTAAAATTAAAAAAAAATTCTTTGGAAATTTTTAAAAAATTTTTTTCCTCACCTAAAAACTTTTTTATTAGAATAGTGTCTCTGTTGTTGTTGCCTCTTTCTATTTTTTCCCAACGAGGAATCATTAATCAAACCACTTTTAAAATTATTTTTAATTGCCTGTTTAATAGGGAGTGCTCTAGCTTTAGGAACAAAAATTTGTAAGGGCCTAATTTTCCCAAATTGGCAAGTATTTATATTTTTTCGTTGTTTTAGCATTTTAATGACTTCCTCTCTATAATTTAATTTTGAAATTTTTGGCAAATAAAAATCCTCTTTTAACATCTTTCTAGGTGATATTCTTTGATGCATTTGTTGTTTAGTTAAGGTGAAGAAAAATGTGAAAATAATTAAAGTGGAAAAATGTGGGAGAAAAAGCTGCATGTTTTCCTCTCTTTTTAAGGTAGTGACCGGAAAACACAGAAATTCTGTATTTTTGTATTTTTTATTTTTGTATTTTTTCTTCTGATTAAATTAGTGACCGGAAACGAACGGAAGATTGAATATGGAGGATAAATTCATTTTTTAAAATTTTTAAAAAACCTGAAAAAAAATTTATAAAAATATTAATAGTAAGTATTTTTATATTTTCACCAAAAAATATTAAGATACACCCAATTTATTTATTTTAAAATACCCCCAAGTTAAGGTACCCCCAAGTTAAGGTTAGTTTGAACAGCTGCCTAAGTAAGAATACCCTTCTGTTTAATGAACACTCATTATAGGATACCCCTCTAGTTAAAAAACACTCATTATAAGATACCCCCTCTATTTAATGACACCCATTTATAAAATACACCTCTATTTAAGGAACACTCATTATAAGATCCCCCTCTATTTAATAAACACTCATTATAGGATAACTCTCTATTTAATGAACACTCGTTTATAGGATCCCTAATATTTTTTCAGCCTCGAGGGTATCTTATAATAATGTTTGACTGTATTTTTGAATTTAATTAAGCAACTTATTGATGTTTTTAAGTAATTAATAAATAATTAAGAAAAAATTGGGTAAAATTAGCCGAAAAAAAGAGAAAATATGTGGGTAATTAATAAAAAAAATAAAATATCCATTCACCAATTATTTAAATCCAATTGGAAGCTAATCAACGTAACCGGTAGTTGAATAATAAAAAAAATATTGGAGGGGGGGGGGGTTGTTAATTACGCGCAGACAAATATTTTTTTATTTTCTCTTTTACATATTTTTCGGAATTTTTCTTTTATTTTTCTTTCGGAATGTTTGTTGAGATTCAATAAATTAAATTCTCCTAAAAATAATTTTTATTAAATATTTAAAAGATTTTTAATTATAATCCCGAATTATTACCGTATTTATTCCAATAGAATGGCCGTCATTCTATTTTTCATTACCCCCAAAAAGAGGCCATTCAATTGGAGAGGCCATTCTATTAGAATAAATAATAATATACTGTTTGACCTTTTTGAACAGTTTCTCCCTGTATGGCGTTTTGTCATTTTTCGTTTTTGACGTTGTTAAAATTTCCCCCTATGTGACGTTGTTGAAATTTTCCATTGTGTGACATTTTGAGTTTTTTCTATTGTTGGGCGTTTTATAATTTGTAAACGAATTAAAAGCAATTAAAAAAATTCATTAAATTAAAATTTTAAATTTAAATTTATACATATTTCAAAATTTATTAAATAATTGGCATTCTGTTTTTTTTTGTTTTTTTCTTTGCCTACCTCTTCTTTTCCCACACTCTCTCGTTCATTTGCAGTTTTTTGGGGGCTATCATTCAAAAAATTTTTAAAAATTTATTTAAATTTATTTTCGACAATTTGTTTATGTTTTCAGTTTGTTTATTGTAAGTTTTTAAAGGTTTCTTTTTTTTTTATTTTAAAATTTTTAGTAGACTTTTTGGTGAACAAATTCCTTCGGTTTCTCGTTCCTTTTGCACCAAACCTTTTCCAAAGCCTATTTACACGCATCGCTCGGGGAGACAAGTGGGGAATTTTTTTGGATATTTTTTTGTTTAATTAGGAGTTTACTTAAAAATGAAATTTTATTTTTGGAATTTCTTTCGAAAAATTTCTGTTTAAATTGTCATTTACGGGGTTCCTTTTTTTCCTTCCCACTTTTTCCTATTAATGTACAGAATGGTCAGACTTTCCTTACTTCTAAAAAAATATAATTAGGTAATCCTTTTTGTTTGCTTGTTGGCAAAATACAAAAAGGATTATTAGGAAAGGAACCATTATAGGGAAAAATTTGAGGAAAAAAGGGACCCGTAAACAACAATATTACCAAATTTCTAATAAAAATTCGGCCTAAGTGCACTTTAGTAACGTGATCTAAAAATCGACGATTTATATGTCATTCGAAAGAGCTCGGTGAGCTGAGTCGAACGACACCAAAATTATTCCGCGGACTCAATTGGGGGCCGAGATATAGGTCCCCAAAAATCAAAAAATCATAGGAGGGACCAAGCACTTTTTTGGGGGTGAAAAATTCGAATATACAAATAATAGCTCATTCGAAAGGGCTCAACGAGCTGAGTCGAATGACACCAAAATCAACTCGATAGGATGATTATGAACAAAGTTATGACTAACAGAATCTTCGCTGGAAAAACTGTTTTTGTGCTGCTACGGAGGGTAGGCCGGGCATGGTCTTCGCTACACGATGGCCGTGCTTCGCTGCGGTCGTGCTCGCTTCGCTCGCGGCGACCGTAGCGAAGCGGCGGCCGTCGTTCCGCTCGACATGCCCGGCTTCCTCCGCAGCGGCAAAAACTTTTTTCCGCGTGGGCCCTATGTAGGGGATAAAAACAAATGGTCATAACTTTGTCAAATTACGTCTGATTTTGTTGATTTTGGTGTCATTCGACTCAGCTTGACGAGCTCTTTCGAATGACATATAAATCATCGTTTTTTAGATCACGTTACTAAAGTGCACTTTAGCCAAAAATTCCCCAAAATTGTCTCCTTTAGCTGACCATTTCTTTTTAAAAATAATTTTTGTAAACTCCTAATTTTCTCTTTATTTTATCAATTTTTAATTTAAGGTAAAAGCTAGAATGAAAAAATTAGAAGAAAAGATGGCCGAATTGGGAGGCAACTTCAAATCTAAAC